CCATACACATTAAGAATCTTGATTCTTAAATCCATGGCTTTTCTGAGACCCATAATACATGCTTCATCTCCGCCATGTTTTTATTACAACCAAATATCAACCTTGCAGTGAAAGAGATGTGGGAACCATGGGGAGTAATAATCACAACACCAATTCCTTTACCATAAGCATTCACAGCTCCATCAAACACTAGACCCCAACGGGATTAAGGATCTGGACCTTCCTAAGGTGAAGGTTCATCATAATCTTTAACATTCAAATAAATCATATCCTCATCTGGTAAATCAAAGTTGACGGACTGGTAATTATCAACTGGTTGGTGAGCAAGGTACTCTTCCAACACACTTCCTTTAACATCCTTTTGGGTACGATATTCAATATCATATTCATACAACAACATCTGCTAACGGAAAATTCTTCTAATAAGAGCAGAATTTTCAAAGATGTACTTAATTGAATCCATTTTGAATATCAACCAAGTAGTATGATTCAACATATATTGCTACAGATGCTTAGCAGCCCAAGCCAAAGCACAACATGTCTTTTCAAGCAATGAATACAGTAACTCGTAATCGGTGAACTTCTTACTCAGATAATACATGGCATATTCCTTTCTACCTGTTTCATCTTGTGGACCCAAGATGCAACCCATAAAAATATCCAACATAGAATGGCATATTCCTTCCTTCAATAGGAGAGAGCGAGGTAGAAGGCTCGAGAAGATACTCTTTGATAATATCAAAAGCATTCTAGAAATCATCTGTCCATGCACAACCCTGATCTTTCTTCATAAGCTTGAAGATCGGCTCACGGGTGGAAGTCATGTGAGAATTAAACCTGGGGATATAATTAAGACATCTGAGGACACCTCTGACTTACTTTTCACTTCTAGTACAAGCATTTCTTGGATTTCCCTAACTTTATCAGGATCAACTTCAATTCCTTTCTGGATAACATGGAAGCCCAACAATTATCTAGAAAGGACACCAAAGGTGCACTTACTTGGATTCAATAGAAGAAGATACTCCCTTAAACGCTTAAACAACTTCAACAAGTCTTCTACATAACCCTCTTCAGTCTGAGACTTGGCAATCATATCCTCAATAAAACCTAAATTTTTATGCATCTGATCATGGATTAGGGTTGTCATAGCCCTCTGGTATGTTGTACCAACTGTAGCGGTAAAAATTTGAGACTAAGCCATTGATTGACTTCACTCATAATGTGAAAGTTGCCACCGCACTTTATTGTTCCAAAGTAATGGTAAAAGAGCGAATACAACCAAAAATCAAATAGAGATCAAGGTAAGGGGGGTTGGTTAATCAAAAGGGAGGTATTAGCACCCTAAAAAATCTACAGTACTCCACATAAACCTCTTTAAAAATCTGTGTATTTCGCTAAAAATAAATATTTACAAAATGGATTGTGGAGATGAGAAAAGAAGTATTTTTTTTACAATTTTTTATTTGACAAGGCTTCCAATGAGCTCTCGGCCTACATGCCAACAATGTGCAATGTTGAAATCAAAATCCATGTAGTTCAGGTAATTTTAAAGTTGTGTTTTAGTTCATTTTAAAAGAATTTAAAGTGAAATGCCAAAGTGGTAAAATGGTTTGAATTTGTTTTGTATTTTTTAAGTATTGAAGAAATAATTCATATCTTTATTAAGATTGATTAATGACTTGATTAAGAAAAGAGTTTTGAAAATGTGTGTACCTAAGTCCAAGTTTATTAAGAAAGTGTTTCAAGTTTGAAAACAAGAATCCTTTGAAAAAGGAAGAAGATTTTGAAAATTAAAGAAGATGGGAGGAGATGAAGAGACTATCCTAAAGCATAAAGTAAAATCTAGGGTGAGGAGGGGTGTTGTACCCCAAAATTTTCCCTCTCATGTTTTCCAAGATTGTCTCCTACATGGTTGGTTACAAGCAATTGCTTAAAGAAAACGTAAATTTTTTGAGGATAAACAAGATGTCTTTGATTGACATTGGGACAAGGTACCTCGATTAGGCATTTGGCATTCTTCGATCATGCCTTGATTAGGTGTTTGGCATCCTTCGATACAAGCTTGACTCAATAGTCTTCAATTGGGCATCTAAATCCTTCAATACAAACTTGACTCACCAACTTCGATTGAGCGCTAGACCCCCTTCGATCAGGTTGATTTCACAATGTCTTCGATGGAGCACTGGGCCTCCTTCGACCAAGTTTGGTTCACAAGGCTTCGACTGCGCATTAGCTACTTCAGGCTTGACTTCGATTCACAAGTGGGTTTTTGCATGCCAGCTTCATTTAAGGCAAAATCCCCTTCATGCTTGCTTTGGATTCACAAGGGAAAATGTTTCTTTTATGATTGCCTTCAATGCATAAGGAAAAGAATTCCTCTGTGCTTGCTCTCAAGGCCAAGACCCCTCAACACAGTTTCTGCACTATGACACACAAATATGACCCCTTTGAAAGAGCACTCCAAAAGCCCATTCGAAGGACACATATTGTTGGCCATTCGAAAGAGACACATAATCACTGAATGAAAGTTTTGTCTTATGGTGGATCTTGGTCCTACATGTGGCCAGGCCTAGGCCTCTTGTGCGTTAGCATTCGAAGGTGGTGAAAAAAGAAGTTTTCGATTGGCCATATTGAAAGTTTTCATTTGAGTTTGTTTGAATCAAGTAGCAAGGGAAAGTAGACTCAATCGAAGAAGCTCTGATGAAGGAAACTCTGAACAGATTCGAATCCAGAGTCATAAAAAAGGACAAATTCTTTGACGAAGAGAATTATGGGTAATTCGAACTGATGCAGATATTGACTTAATTAAAGAAACTCTGATAAGGGAAAACTCTAAATTTAGAATCATCAAAGATCTGAGCAATTCGAATTGATGTGGATGGACTCCATCGAAGGAGCTGAATCAGAGCCATTCGAAGGAGCTAAATCAGAGTCATTTGAATGGGGCAATCAGAGTCATTCGAAGGAGCTAAATCAGAGCCATTTGAAGGAGGCAATCAGAGCCATTTGAAGGAGCTGAATCAGAGCCATTCGGAGGAGGCAATCAGAGTCATTCGAAGGAGGGCATTCGAAAGAGTCAAATGTGTCCAGATTCATAGCAAATTCAAAAAGGGACAAGAAACTATGTCTTTAGCAATGTTTCAAAATGATATTCATGGCCTTAAAACACCAACTTAATGGTTGTTTATTCCTTGGCCCTCTTGTCCCCTCCATCCCCTCTATATAAGGAGCACATTAGCAAGCTCCAAAGACACCTAGGGATATAGCTGGAAAGAGTCACACGAAATTGCAAACACATTCTTGGAAGTCTCCTGAAGATTTTCCAATCGTCACCAGTCCCTAAGCAAGTATCTCCATGTCCAGAAGTGCCAAATCGATGTTTTCAACTATGGGTAATAATGGGAAAGAGATCATACTTTACATTTGCATGATACATTAACATTTGTAGTTCATTCAATCTGTATTCAAGATTAAGGACCTGGGTTTGACACCCAGGTCTGCATTTTGCTTTATTTCTAACACTTATTGCAGATCTAGCCTGAATAGACCCAACGTGCGCAGGATCGAAGGACTTGGGTTCGATACCCAGGTCCCGCATCTTTATTTGGCTAATATTTATCTTGCAGATTCAAATTGAAAGGCAAAATCCATCGCTGGATCAAAAAGCAAGGCATCCCTTCTTGGATCGAAAAAAGCATATTCCCCTCTGGATCGAAAAGCCCCATTTTTCCCATGGATCAAAAGGCACCTTCTCTGGATCGAAGCCCCCAATCTTTCCCTGGACCAAAGGAGGCCCCCTTTGTATTTTTATTTTTGTTTTCATTTCTTTATTGACTTTTTTTATTGAAATTAACTTAAAATAAATAAAAAAATCACAAAAAAACATTAGGCTAGTATTTTTCTAATTAAGTTAATTTTGTAAATAAATTAATTAATCATTTTAACCTCTTCTTGAAATTAAAATTAAATAGACTTAGGTTGTATTTTCTTAAAATAAAACAAAACAAACAAAAAGATTTCTTTTCCTTATGATTTAGACGTCCCTTTTAATTCGTTTGGGCATTTATTTACTTTCGCATTTTTTCCATCTTAGTGTAACTGCTTCCCAGTTTGTAATAGTAACTAGGACTTTACTTTTCGCACTTCTATAATGCACCTCTCACAAAGCCATGTAATAGTGTAGGATTTACATTCCCGCACTTTACATTTCTGCATTTTAAATTACTTTATATATTAAATATTAGTAATTAGGTTTGTATGAAAAGACTGAAATCAAACGCTAGCAAACATAATGCAAGACTAAAATAACTGAACATAACACATCATGCACATGCACACCTCTAGGGTACCCCACTTCGGTTGCCTTTGGAAAACGGTCACAATTCTCGAAACGTGAGAAGTTTTAGTGGATGTCCTCTAGTTTGAAAGATCACAAGTCCCTCGATGACCCTCTCGACGTTGTCTCGGTTAAAAGTGATCTTAGAACTTTAGGACAGTTACTAAAATTTCTTGCCAAGTTGCCTTCGTGACTGTAACGTCCCTTCGAATGTCCCTTATACATCCAATGACTAGTGCTGCCTACTCACTGATAGTAGGATAACGCTGTCTAAAGGATAGGAGGAAAAGAATAACCTTTTTCGAGTACAAAGTAGATAGCTGTTAGAAGTTTGCGCAAAACATTTTGCACTTACACAAATATTATTTTCAAAAACATTTTTCAAAATACTTTGTATACTTTCTCCACTATCCCGAGAAACATTACAAAGTTCGTCATACTAAGGCATTTTCAAAACATTTTCAAATACACAAAGCACAAAGGTATTTCAAAATGAGCAAACCTCTAAGAGCCCGTAGATAACTACGGATGGAAAGGGTGCTAACACCTTCCCTTTCCATAATCTACCCCCCTTACTCAGAAAAATCTCGAAAAGGTCTTTTTCTATTCTTTTCACCCTTTCCTTAATTTGGATAAAAGAAAAGTTGGTGGCGACTCTTGCTTACCGCAACATTTGCAAACACAAACGCAAAACCAGTATTAACAGCCGGTTCTGCCACCGTATCACAAGGGGCCTGACCAAACAAGAAACTAACACTTGACATAATGAAGTCAATATAGCGTTCACATCTTTTGGATTAAAGCCACACATAATAGCACTTGCACACAGATGACTTCCCAATACAAAGACAAGGCTATAGTGGAACAATACAAGATTTGAAGGACTCAAGAACAAAGATAAACTCTTAAGTAAGCCCCAAAGCCTTATCAAATCAATTAAACCAAACATGTTAACATGCATTAAGGAACCTCAAAAAGAAAACTTGAACAAGTATTGAGTAGACATGTGATCAAACATAGCATGAGATGGCATTATATAAAAAAAGAATCAAAGGTAACACAAAGAGTACTTAGATAAGTAGCATCCATGTCATCAAAGTAAGATAAGAAAATTAATCCATGCATCAATCCATACAAGAGAAGGTTCAAAGCATACAAGAGATGAACATCTCTAAACCCTAAGATGTTATCTCACATGAACAAGTAAGGAGGCAAAGCAAACAAAAAAAATGACTAAGAAATCAAATGGACATGTCATGAGAATACATCAATCAACCCTAAGCTACTGCCACAACATGCATTTAGGTCTAACTCTATCCTAAACAAAGCATCGAGGGCTAAGAAGAGGAGAAAACATCCTAACTAGGCAAGTAGAAGGGACAAACACATAAAGGAAGTAAACACTTCAACCATGCTACTTGAAAAAAAGCAACAAACAAGATGAGACAAGAGGTAGATACCTAACTCTAAACATGATTTAAGACATATCATCACACCACAAAAGGTCACATGTTATCCAACATCACCTAATCAAACAACTATTCACGGTAAGAAGAGACGAAGTTCAAACAAGTTGAAAACATTAGCTCAAGCCCTAAGAAAGTATCAACCACTCATAAGGCAGAAAATTCACATAAAATTAAACATCAAGACATGTAAAAAAATCCATAGAGGTCATGCACAAGAGGTATGGACATTAGGAACACAAGAGAAAGAAAACACCTAAACACACTAGCATGCAAAGCCATATGTGTAAATTGCCTAACATATCATGGCATAAGAAGGTGAAGTGAATTGAAATAAATTAAAAGGCATACAATTTAAGTTGAAAGGGATTAAAGAACTAATCATCATCATCATCATCATCATCATACATTCATGCTTGGGAAAAAAGCACATCAAAATCACACAAGCACATGATCACAAACATCCCTAAGTGGAAATTAGTCCTCTAATCAAGAAGTTTTAACATGTAAGACAAAGGGATAGAAATGTAATGAATGAGATAGGGAAAATAAGAACATGAGATTAAATTTAATCACATCTCAAAGCTTGAAAAATTTCACACAAATACTAAATTCAACAATGATCAAACAAAGAAACAATCCCATCACACATTGTCATCTTTAAAAAGAATCCTCAAATCATGGCAAAGAAATGATTAATTAAACATGTGATGAAGAATTTAGACGGCACAAATAATAAGCATACCTAATGTATTACATATCTATCATGATTTTAAAATATCAAGTGTTCATGCATAGGAGAGGGTCAAGAAATTAGCAAACAAATCCTAGTGTATCAATTAAATGGTTCATCACCAACATATTATTCAAATGATCAAATAAGATAAGGAGAGGAGGTATTCAAATCAAATATGTCAGAGGTAAAGGACATGTAATATCAATCACACAAGCATCATAAGCATCAAGAAGAAATAACATGAGAAGCTCAAGGAAATGCACCAAAGATAGGCAAGCATACATGGAAACTTTTAATCAATTGTGAACACAATCAAAGAGACATGGAATGACCTATAAAATGAATTGATAAGTCTTTAATACATGGTATATCAAGAAACATAAGAGGGGAGCACAATTCTTAAGTGGTTGCACAAGTGCACCTCTAAATAAATCACAAATCAATCAAACATCAAGGCAATTAGGCATGCACTATATCACACAAAAGAAATAGTTTAGGAGGCTTTAAAAATGTTGGGAAAATAGTTATAGAATTAAGAAGTCAGTGACTCAAAGTGATTTAAAAATGTGCCTAAGAAGGTGTACAAAAATTTTCAAACCAACTCAAACATCAAGTAAACACACAAGTTAAGTTTCAAAAAGAAATTCAATCACGACCCAAAATAAATGGTGCAAACATAAAATGAACACTTAAAGGTCCTATATAAATGTGTCTACTTGTGTGCCAAAATTAGGATCAAGAATCAATTGGAAAGGCCATCAATCAAACCCTGATTCACAAGACTAGGCCAATTAAACACCTTCACACATTAAAACAAAATAAAATAGAAAAAAAAATATATGTAAAGTTAAATAAAATATTAATATGTCAGAATATATTTTTTGTGGAATTTTCGGTATAAAAGAACTATTAAAAAAAAAATTGAAATTTGAAAAGGAAATAAAAAATATCAAAGTAAAAGCAACGGGTGTATTAGAAATGTCCAAATTATACTGACTTCAGTTTAGTGGCACGTTTGGCCCAATAAGTGTGGGGTACACTTAGGCAATGCTCTAGGGCCCAGTCCACTAATCATTTTTAATCTCATTTTAATTCAATAAAAAAGGAGTGTGACAAAAAAACATGTAATCCTTTATCAATTGGTCGCCCTTCACTTAAGTCATGTAAGACAAAATTCAAATACTGGCCTATCATAATGCTTCAGCCATTTTATTATTTTCAGATTAAAAAAAACAAAACAAAAAAGAAAACACAAGCTCATACGTGGCAGAGAGAGAGGATAATTGTTAAATCCCATAGCCAATGAGATCGCGACACGCTTCATCTTCTTCATCTCAACAACATAAAACCAGGCTGTGCCCTAAACCGTGAGTTTTATGCAACTCTTAAATTCAAATATCTCAACCAATATTCCATGAAATTGAATAAAATAAAAACAAAAAATGAAGATCTCCATGTGTGTAACACAACAATAACCTTAGGTTTCACAAAAAACAACTTAAACACCATGAAAATCAAGCAACAAGTCACGTATTCAAAACTGAAAATGAACTTCACAAGCATCAAGTATTCGAACAATCAACCAATTCATCTCTTGGAGTACTTCCAGATGCAGTGCATGAGCATATTTATAGCATTTTAAATCCCTAAAATCTAAGCATGGGAGAATGAGGGTTCGAAGAAATTTTACCGAGTGGAGTAAGAGTCCATTGCCCTTGTTCTTGCTTGGAGATCTTCAGAAACCCAACAAAACTTACTCTATGATCCTTAGATGATACGAATAAGGCAAGAGAGAAACAAAAAATACCAAGTAGCAAGAGCTTCCAAGAAGAAAAATGGAGAAAATAGAGAAAAGTTGTAGATATGACTTCTCTTTCCAAACTGTGTGTGTGATGAATGAGAGGTAATAGAGGAGTTATATAGAGTCCCTTGAATCAGGTTTAGAGCTAACTTCTGGTTAAAAATTGATTGGAGGGCAGGTTTGGTATTTTTGTCAAAAATGGTGAATGCATGATAAGCTTGCGTTTTGAGTGTAATAGCCGAGCATTAGGCTGCGTTTTGGCACGAAAATGAAATCATGAAGAGTGTGTGATGGGTGGCCAAAAAGTGTGCATGCATGAGCTCGTCCTTTGTTTGGCCATATTGAGTAACTTTTGAATGGTGTGGTGCGTATAGTACTAAAGAGAAATAAGTTGCAAGCAAAAGGGTCAATGCAAAGCCAAAATAATAAATTCACATGCTAATTAAAACAAACATTCAGCCATTTTCAATGGTCACAACTTGATGAACTTTTATCCAAATGGCAAGAACTTGAGCTTACTAGAAAGAGTGAAATGAGGAGAGAAAAATTCATGTTGAGAATATTTTGAATAAAGGTTTAAAAGTTCCTTAAAAATGGCTACGAAAGTGTCCAGCTGACAGTGTCCACCCGACACTACTAAAGATATGACATTTGATAAAAGGCCCTTACATCAGCTATAAAAATAAATGATGTAAAAAAATATTTGTCAAAAGATTTTACATTAGACGTTTATTTCCTCTAATATGAAAAATATGTGATTTAGAGGAAAATATAAGAAGGTGACAGTTTGGTAAATAAAATGAAAATTTTTATAAGAGATTTTACATCGGGCTTTTACAAACCCACGATGTAAAAAGTCCAATGATAAAATAATACAAACACGGTGGCAGTTTTGTAAATAAGGTGCATTTTTGTTATAAAAAGTGGCCCTTGCATCGGTCTAAGACTCAACCGATGTAAAAGATTGGCCCTTACATCGGGCCCTTTTATCCAACTGATGTAAAAACCAATTTTAGTTCACAAAACCTTAATAATACTAATTAGATGTTCATAACACACCACACATCATCTCTCTCGAGCAGCTCCCTTCGAAACCGTCTCACATCAAAACTTCTCCCTCCATCTCCCTCCGCCTCTAGACTTCGTCAGCTGCAACCGCGGCCACTATACGACCTCCGTCTCCCTCCGTCTCCGACGTTGTCCCTTAATTTTCCTCCGTCTTCGACGTACCTGCGTTCTTCTGTGTCTCTCCGTCTCCCTCCGCCTCCGACGTCGTCCCTCCATTTTCGACAGGTTAGATTTATCATTATTGTTAATGTTATCCAAATTTATATTACATTTTATCTAAAGGAATGGATTTAAATTAGAACAAATTAAAATGTTGTTGTTAACCCTCATTTGTGAGTGGGTCTGTTTGTTTAATATGTATACATGTATTTTGATTATTTTAGAACATGTTTTAATGGTGGTTTGGTGGTTAGTTTTATTTAATCTTGCATGCTAACCACTAATCAAGTTTCAATCCCGTGACATCATATTATGTTACAATTTTTATGTTTAAAAGAATCCCTTATGGATTCTTGTAGTAGTGCTACTCTTCCATCAGACTTCCTATAAATGTATATTTCTACCCAAACTAGAAACATTCTAGGACAGTTAAGTAGGATATATTCTAACTTTATATTATTTGTGACGAAGTTTCCTATATTAAGTCATTGTGGAGTGATCTAACAAGTAAAGAATGTTAAAAAAGATTAATTATTAAAAAAGTATATTAGAAATAAAAATTTCTAATGATTTAACTATGCATTCATTAATTTCGGAACATACGTATGGATCGTAGTTGGATGAGAGCTAATCGATTAAGTACTGAGTACGAACATAGAGTGAAGGAATTTCTAAGATTTGCTGAAAGTAATGCTGAAAAAAGTCTTCATGCACTTTTTCTCTGTCCACGT